GGTCTTCTTAGTGTATGCCCAATCCATCTACACTTCTTTTTTATATTTTCTCTGTCCCTTGATGTTTTTTTAGCGATTGGATTGGTATCACGGGTACTGTTTCTAGCCTTACGCTTAACCTTCCCTATTCATCGGGCTTAGGACCGGCTAGTAAAATAGACTGGGTTTCTCGTAATATTATTCTTATATTATTACTTGTGATCAAATTAAACTATTTGATAGTTTTTGTTTTTTGTCTCTGCTTGTTTTTTACTAGCTGAACACAACTGTAAATGAAATTTCGTATTAAAACAAATGATCCAGGATGTATTGAATACTTTTCAGGTTAGTTTACGTCTAGGCTGACGTATGTATTTAGCTTTTATCAATGTATGAGAAATGGTGATATTTGAAGATGAAACAAAAACCTATTTCACAATGAGACTTAAATCAACCACTTCCTAGACACTACTGACTGAGTTACTGAGTAGCTGGATGTTGTATTACGGTCATTATTGCGTCGCATTCATCGGTAACGCGAATGACGTTGGTTCGAATCTCCTTTCACCTTCAATCATCAATATGCATACTAAATACCAGTTAGTCAAACATAGTCTCAATGACAATTTCATTGATTCGCTGCATTTTTTAATAAATAAATAAGTAATGTAACTCAATTGTTTGGTACCGGTTTCATGAACTAGTAATTAATAGTAGGAATAAATTTTACCTTAAATCGTCTTTATGAGAAGTCAGTAATTTGAAATTAGTTAGTTAGAATAGTTTCAAACGAAATTGCATCCTAAGGAAGTAGTTAATCATGAATTTGTAATTCGAATACAAAAGATCTGCTTTGCACTTACCAGATTACGTCATTGTTGACATTGGTGAAGTAATAAACCAAATTACAAAGAACAAGTATACTGCACAGTGATTTGTTCTGTTCCTTATAGAGATATACAATATAACCGTTGAAAAGGTTACAGTCGTTTGATCATAGGTGTCTTCGCAGTGTTATTCTCGTAACATACGCCATGTGTTGTTGTGTCATCGCGTCACAATCACAGAAGTCAGGTGTAGAGTTTCAGGGAGGCGATGAAAGTCAGTTGATAAGCTCATGAACTTTCAACGATTCAGATAGCTGAGACATTTATTTCGCATGTATAGTCACCATCTTCCTCATCGAGAAATGTTAACTGGAGTAGGTCCAGGCTTGGACAAGGTTCAGGGTGGCCAGAATAAAACATGGCATCAATACATGAAGTCCTTGACTGTTGGTTTCAACCATGTAGCAAGATGTGGACTAGTCAGTTGGGGTCCATGTGACAAGGTAAACCAGTGGTTGAAGACTCTAAATGATATGACTGATTCTCCTTTTATCTCCTTTTACCACTCACTATCTAGTGCTTTCGGCTAACTTTTCCTTTTTTCTTCATCCTTCATCTAACTACTTTGTTACTTATTGTACTGATATGAAATGTGGCAACTTCGACTTTTATGCAGTAATGCCTGGTCCTATATTGATATTGATGGTGTTATTGTTCTCGTGTTGTGAGCACATAGAACAAATTAAATTTAGTTTGAAAGGAAGCTGACAATTGTGATTATTAAAACATAACTCGGAAATTATGCAGTTCTCGACCGTTGGTTTGAACTATGTCGAAAGATGTAGGTTGTTTGACTTGTGTCGTCGAGATGTTAAGAATCATTGGTTGGTGACTTTTGGTTATGAAGCTGATAACCGACTGTATCATCTTTAAACTCTGATTATTTCCGTAACTTCTGTTTATTTTTAAGGTAGTATTCATCACAGAGTAACCACTGAGAACCTAGGAGGGAAATGAAATCCCCAATAACTTAAATATACATTACATAATAGTGCTCATTAGTGATATTCTTCGAGGTAGATATCCTGAAGTTATAATGAGAAGTTGTGATCCATGGGGTTAACCGGTCGAAAGTGAAGCGGATGCCAAACTGATGAAATTATGAAGCTCTGGACCCAGTAACTGAATGTTTAACACGTTTGCCGTGAAACCTAAAGGTTGTGTGCTCGATAACTGGAGGTTAGGGTCTCGTGGATCCCCATATTAGAACAGAACAGCTGTCTAATGTTGACAAGATTTCCATGTATTGTTGTCCAACTGATGTCAGTTCCTAATGAATATTACCTTAAAAATAGAATCCCTATAAATCTCAAATTACATTTTGTTGACTTATTTCTCATCTGATCTCTCATATACTTTTGTCTACTTGAATAGCCTTTTTCTATTCATTTCTTCTTTGTGTAGTGTTATGCCTTGTCGAAAATTAACAAACACTGACACACTTAATTGTAATGATACTTGTAATTTCCTGTTGCTATACTGACCCGATTCTCTCGACCTCTGTTGGGCGGATGGGATACTATGTGGATGCTTCGATACTGCCAGATATTCATGATGTTATGATGATCTTAATGACTAGTAGAGGAATCTGGAATACGTGCTTCTTTCTGTCGTGTCCCAGTGGCTTTGTGAATAACGCTTTGGCGTTGGGAGCGAAGGGTACTGGGTTCGATGTCTCAGCGGAAACATCACTTACTGGGGTGCAGGTATATCCAGCTAATTAGTCCTAAGTAGGTCGATACGCGCATACTGGATTCTTCTGCTAGTCACTGAGGTCAATATAAGTGACACACTTATTTGGCAGAGAGCTCTAGACTTACGTTTTTTTCTTTTTTCGGTATTCGTCAGTATGGAGTATCTACAACTTCGAGGGGACTGATGTCTCTTCTGAGAATTGAATCTGCGTCACCCAGTGTTACAGTCTGAGACGCTGACGATTGATCTACTAGCTTGATTCGGCCGGATTGTAGATATGATCGATAAAATCCGGTCTCCAGTCAGTAATCAATGAATCTTGTTTATTCTTACCATTCTTGATATCATTTAAATACTATGAATCAAAGGGATATTATCCAATACTTAGTGATAGATGAAGTTTGAACACCATGAATTTGAATTTTATATAAAGCGTCTGTTTATTCAAAAAAAACTTACGCATACATAACTCCATCAACTGAGCTTACCCTTTTTTGAATCAGGAATTATAGGCGGCCTGCCTAAATTTTGGGCTACCAAAAAACTTCCCATCTATTATATTCCATCAAATTCTTCCCTTTTAGTTTGTCTTAATCTTTCAAATATCTTCTGAACGCATCGTGTGCACTCGCATGTTTTTAAAAGATTTTTGAACCCTTGTTTCTCAAGCTAAGAGGAAATCAAAGGAAAAAACGTTCCGCCGGTTGGAAATGGATTTGTGAATGCTCGAAATCACACCACATTACTATTCCTAGGTTACTTACATGGGGTTGTGAATTTCTGTGCTGGCTAACTGAACTACCACCATCAAAATTACTCTCTATTTTGTATTAATTTCTGATTCGAGAACAGGTGCTAATGTAACACTAACTGCACATTTCACATTTATGCCTTCAATACTGTTATTATTGACATTATGTAGACGTAATAGTAATGATTTCTTTTAAAAATATTGTACGGAAAGCGAATTTGTTGAAATATTCCATGCTGAAAATTCCATGCTATATCATACGTGTTGTTTGGAACAAAAAAATTATTATTATTTTTGGCAACTGATCCAACACTACGCAATACCACAAACCTTTATCAACCTCATTCAACAACTATATGAAGACGCCACATGCAAATAATTCACAAGGGGAAGCTCAGTGATGCCTTTGAAGTGAAGACAGGAGTAAAACAAGGCTGTCTACTATCACTCATGGTCTTCTTGATTGTGGTTGACTGGATCATGCAGCAAATAGTGAAGAGCGAGAAGAGGGGGATACGCTGGATCGGGGAAATGATCCTAGGAGATTTGAATTTTGCCAGTGATGATTTGTGTCTAATGTCACACAAACTTGAAGATCTACAGGCAAAAAAACTAACAAGTTGATAGAAGAGGCAGGGCAGCGTAGGAAGACGGGACTTCAAGTGAATATAGAGAAGACAGAGGTGATGAAGATACCCAATCAACACCACCACCACCAACAAGAAGCTCCAATCACTATCAACGAGAGAAACTTAAAAGAAGTAGCCTCTTTCACCTACCTAGGTGGCACAGACGAGGACGTCAAAGCCAGCCAGGATCGGAAACATAGCAAGACAGACCTACTTTCATTAACCTGAAACCGGTGTGGAGATCTTCTGCACTGCACTCAGCATAAATCGTGAACAACATCCGGATTATCAACACCAATTTAGTTAAGTCAGTGCTTCTATGTGATGGTTGAGAGACTTGGCGCGTTACGAAAAGCATTTCCAACAAACTGAAGACATTCATCAACAACTGCCTACGCTGTCTCGTTACTGAAGCTCAGATTGTCAGAATAATAAGAATAAGCAACAAGGAACTCACTCCGGCTGGCTGTTAACGAACCATCCAAGAAGTTACCGCTCAACAAATATGCACTAGAAGGAAGAGGAGATGGACTGGGCATACACTGAGAATGCCGATTAGGGACATCACGCTCCAGGCCCTCGAGTGGAAGCCAGATGGGAAACGACAAGTTGGGCGTGCGAGGTGATGGTGACATGGAGGAGATGGTGTGAGGAAGAAATGAGAGCTTCTTGGCTGTCGTTGAGCCAGGTTCAAAAGATTGCAGAGAAGAGAGTGAAATAGAGACATGCTACTGAAGTGGTATGTTCCACTAGGAACCCAAGGGAGAAATAATAATAAGTCATTATTATTATTATTATTATTACTACTATTGTGATCATTATCGCCATTCTTATTGTTATTATTACCATTATTATTATGATTATGATTATTGTCATCATTATTATGATTATTACGATTATGATGATAACAATAATAATTATAACAATGGTTATTATTGTGGTTATTATTATCATTATTATCATTAGAGGAATTCTAGTCTGCTGCCGTCATCATCAGTCTTCTCATGCTATTTTCTTTGATTTTTTTCCTTGAAAACGTTTATAGGTATTGTACACATGATGGCTGGATTAGCCAAGAATGTTATTTTACGTTTAAATAAAAATCAAGTATCATTTGTTATCAAAGAACGTGTAGTATTCGGTGGAATTACAGCATGGTGTGATTTAGATCATGTAAGTTATTGATACCTGAACACTTTACTTCAATCAATTTGATTTAACTGTATAGTGTAAAATGTTGTATTAACTAACTATAATTTTTGTGACAGTATTCTAGTAATGGGTGTTAGTTTATTCTGCTGACTTCATCTAACTGTCTTAGTTTTCTTCGCACAAAGAATGGCTATTGTGACATGGTGACCTAGTGGATAATGCTCTGGCGTTTGAAGCGATTATTCCTGGATTCAAGTCTGAGTAGGAAGAACACCTCTCATTACGACGTAGGTACATCTAACTAACGAGTCTCACACTGGATGAAACCCATGTTGTGGATTCCGCTGCTAACCCTTATCCATCATTAGTATCCGTCTTAGTTCTCCTTGGCTGTAACCAGTCAATCGATATCAATAAACGACTAGGCATTACTGCATAAAAGTCGAAGTTGCCACATTTCATATCAGTACAATAAGTAACAAAGTAGTTAGATGAAGGATGAAGAAAAAGGAAAAGTTAGCCGAAAGCACTAGATAGTGAGTGGTAAAAGGAGATAAAAGGAGAATCAGTCATATCATTTAGAGTCTTCAACCACTGGTTTACCTTGTCACATGGACCCCAACTGACTAGTCCACATCTTGCTACATGGTTGAAACCAACAGTCAAGGACTTCATGTATTGATGCCATGTTTTATTCTGGCCACCCTGAACCTTGTCCAAGCCTGGACCTACTCCAGTTAACATTTCTCGATGAGGAAGATGGTGACTATACATGCGAAATAAATGTCTCAGCTATCTGAATCGTTGAAAGTTCATGAGCTTATCAACTGACTTTCATCGCCTCCCTGAAACTCCACCCCTGACTTCCGTGACAAAGCTACAGCACGAAACACGGCTGATGCTGCGTAGACAAAGGTGGTCAAACACCAGAAGCTTTCTCCCCTCCCCTACCTTTAATTGCCATGTTTCACAGTCATACAGTAGAACAGAGCGAAACACAGCACAATGCACTCATCCCTTAATCGGAAATCGGATTGATTGCAGCAACAAGACTGATAGTCAACATTTATTCACTGAAATGCTGAAAGACGTCATTTAAAAAACCTACGAGTCACGATAACACTTCATTGTTTAATCAGTCTCAGTTTTCATCAGTTTTTATTACTTCTTGCAACTGAATCCAATAATATTCATATTGATGCCTAGAATATGAGTTAGCCACGTCAGATGCTTAATGTTTACTGTTTAGGTGTTCACATTGAAATTACACTGAAAATGGTAATTCATTCTGATAGGTATTCGAACGCATAATGATCGTGACAGTTTCACTTGATTAAAAATTTATTCATGCTATGTTGATCAGCTGGAATAATCATGGTCTTACGTTTTGTACTTCACAATGCCTTGCCACCATTCTATATTATCTCAAAGTATGTTGACAAAATCCTATCAATTTTTTTAAAATTTGCCTCTCATCTGTTGATACTACTGAGTTAAAAACAGTAGTGTGGGAATACTAATTAAAACTATTCAGTGTATTTCATCAAGGATTAAAAATTGCAAAATGTAAAGCAGTGTAATGTCTTCAGCTCAAAGGATCCATTCTCTACCATTGACTAATGAATTTTTGCCATAAACACTAGTAGTAAGAAATTTCAAGCCATGTACTTACTGGTCGTAATTCACTAGTCGAATGGATAAACACTCCATGGTTTTAAGTGCGATTAGTTTGAGTTTCGACGGGAACACTAAAATTTAGTGAAGCACCGTAGTGTAAGACATACAGACTAAATCAATATAGAACCACCTCATACACAGGTGTATTGGCTCAAGTTGCCACACTTTACAGTAATACACAAAGAATAGGGATAGAAAGAGACTGGTTTCATAATAGATAGGGTTGTCTAAGATAAAGGTTAGTGCGAATATTCAAGCTTTAGAAGACGTCACGAAGTGAATGCGTCCGCGTCAGTGTGACCGATTTTCAACTGTGTCACTGAAAGTCCGCAACCGCTGATTCTTTTCATCTTGGAAACCTCGACCAGACAGTTTACATCTCACACAGCTCAAACCAACAGTAAGAGACTTCATCGACTGGTGCCACGTCTCACCTTCTTTGACCATCCTGAACCCTCTTCGAACCTAATCTAACTTCCCTGTGGCACGGGATTTCAACGTAGGTGGTGGATCAGCATGCGAAATACATGTCGAAGCTATCTCAGTCGACTAAGGTTCTCAACGTCACCAGTTGTCTTGCCTAGTACCCTTGACCTGACATCAACACTGCTCACACGGTGTTGTCACCAAACGCGAGCAATTCTACAAAGACATCTGTGATCAAACCCTGTAATCACTTCATGTCTTCTACATTTAGCAGTCGTATCTACCACCTGTACAAGAGGACAGAACGAACTGTAGCACGGTTTACTCGTCCTTTAATAGGTAGTCGTTGTTGTTGGCACCACAGATAAGCGAGTTGGTGAATGTTAAACGGGCCTTCTGTATCCGAGCTAAGATATCGTCACCAACCAGCCTGTTTGAATTGATGCAATTCCACAAGTTGGTGAAGTGGTCGACATATTCCACCACTTCACGCCTTATCATTGAATTGGGAGTACTTGCTGCAGACCAGTCCTGGAGCATCATCTTACAACCCAAATATAAACATTAGAACCATGCAGTTAGAAACTTCAGAATGAAACAAAACGTCTATCAGAGCTTCTGCGTTTACCTGCTCTCATGTGATTTAAATTATTGCTGTCGTCTGACTATATGCCTGCACACTTTCCCACCATACTTTATCGCATTTATAAGCTACTTACTGATGTGAAGGCAAGACAAAATATTGTAATGTAATATTGAGTGACTTAACTTGATACACGTTTCTGTACTGGGCTATGATGCACACTTGTGAATGGTGAACGATTGTGCTTCTTACGGACCTCTTATTTTTGACTTCTTTAGTTACTGTTCAGAAATGTGAACAACCACCCCTCTTGATGATAGTAATAAGCATAGAAATTCTGGATTGTGGTTTCGTCGCCTCTGAAACTTATCAGCCAGGTTTCTCTGCTGGCCTTCACCAAGCAATATTGAAGCATTTCTCACAGGAGGGCATATATCAACACAGTTTGTTCATTTTGATGGAGTATAACAATAGAATGTTACTAGTATCAATAAATAATGACTTTTCTTTTTATTCTTCCCATGTTATCTGCTTGATCAAGTAAATATAAATTACTGGATACAATTGAATGTGACAAGAATTAGGAATTAATCTGCTTCCCACTGTCTCAATGAACACCCGACCTGTTAAATACAAACTATCTAGGTGATTGAATACCATCTTTCGGTATTTCAGGGACTCGCTGAATTATGATGTATCATAAGAAAAAAAATGCGCGTCCTAGATTCCACTGCTAGCCACTATCCATCTTTGCTATAACTAGAACGCAGATATATCGAGGCATTTGCACAGGATCCCATATGCCAATACAGACTGATCAGTTCGATCCAATCAACGACGGTATCATACAAGCAATAACACTAAAAAAAAAAAACCATTATTCTTGTTCGTTCTTGAATTCTTTCTGTTAAGGAGATTATGCATTAGTTAACCCAACACCTATACGAAGTAAATGTTGATGAAATCACCTAGCTTGATTATGAAATGTGTGAAATATACCCATCAGGATATGAAAGAGTTACAAGTAAGTATTTCAGCGAAGAATCTCTTTTCGAAGATTTCATTTTCAAAGCTTTACATAATCGCGAATTTATACATTTTTCTAGTGTAAGGATTTGATAGTTAAAAACGATTTATCAAGCATGGCAACATAAATAATGTCAATCATATGAGTTGTCATTAAAATCGAAAAAAAACACAACTAAGAACTGATGAATAGTGAATATTAATCAAAAATAAGTTTGGAAGCGACTTTATTGATTAACAAAAATTCACAAGACCTGTCTACCCCTGCCTTCGGTTCTAGACATGTCTGAATCTCCTTACCATCCAATCACGAAATGGCTAGTCGAAATCCTATAGCTTGTAAGAAGACGAATCTCCATCCACTCTCTATGTGATATTTTTGAATTTATTGATTGCATAAGAGATGAAGACGTATCTAATAAATGTATGATATCACTTGACGTCGAGTCACTCTTCACTAATGTTTCACTTTACGGGAACTATCTCATTCTTATGCAGATATATAGCAGATAAGAACATAAATGTTGGGATACCGACCTCCCATTAGTCATGGGAGTGCAACCAATTTCATGTTGTTGATCGTTAAAAATGGTTTGTCAAGGATGGCAATATAAATAATGTCAATCATGTGAGTTGTCATTAAAACGTGAAAAAACTAAGAACTGATGAGTAGTGATTATTATTAATCAAATTAAGTTTGGACAAGAAGTTTAGTAACATGATGACATGATTGGAAATTGAATTGTGATCAGGCAGAGCATAGCAACAAGATTGAGTAGCAAATTACTTAAGAAGGGAATAGTGTCAAAGGAGAAAAATGGAAAGAAAAGCTGGGTGGGAGGTAAGAGAGATTTCAAAAACTGAAAACTAAGACCATGAAAGGAAGGGGTTGAACAATCTTCATTTGTGTACACAATTCAGGTTTCTCTATATGGATAGCTAGAGCTTCGGCGATGCAGAGAATACGAAGACACACAGACTTTGGGAGGTTTCTTTTCTCTTTATAGATGACTTTGAAGGAGGAGGTTTTTGAGATAGCATGATTCATGTTCACGATGTGTTCAATTATAGTGGTCCTTATCTCTCCATTGTTACCTCTTTGGATAACAGTTGACCTATACATAAATTTATGATTATACAGCTTTTAAGATGAAATCGCCGAAAAGAGACTCTTCGCTGAAGTATACTTGTTCTCCTTGATTATAAAATCTCCAATAACTGACCTCACAACATAGAAAACACCAAACAATTATCAGCTTCATAAAAATTTTAATATACGTAGGTCGTGAATTCAAAGCTTATAGTCAAGGTCAACTATTTTTGTTATTCTTTAAGCGGGTAAGCTTTTGTATAACTCGCGTCGGTAATTCATTTTGTTTCATGTATTATTCAAATTACCATTTATTGATATGCTCGTAATTCTCTATTGTTTTATTGTATCGAATTGTTTAACCTCTGTTGGCAATATGGGCTCCTATGCGGATGCCTCTATATTGCCTGAATGGTAATTTGTTTGGTTGTGGCTAGCAGAAGGATACATGACGTGCGTTTCATCCTATTCGATATTCGTCGGCTGGGTGTACGTGCACCCCAGTGAGTGACGTTGTTCCCACCGAGACTTGAACCTCGTGCCCATCACTTCAAACGCCTAGGCGTTATACACTAGACCACGGAGGAGCGATGGGCGCTTCTTGAACGACGGGTATTAGTTAATACTATTATTTGATATACTTGTAATTCTCCGTTGTTTGTTGTGTTGGATCAAATTGTTTGACTTATATTGGTATATGGGCTCCTATGCGGATGCCTCGATATTGCCTGAATGTTAATTATTCAAATTGCTAAGAATACTCGTCAGGATAGTAGATAAAACGTGAAGTTCAGCGATGAGATCCCTTATCGTTGACTTCATTCTCCATAATTTTACAATAGCAATTCTCTACAATTTTTGTTTAACTCTTTTTATATTGATTTATTAGATTTATCACACAGTGAAGGAACAGTATTGTTCAGTGGATTATGTTTCGGACATAATTTATTGTCCATAATCATATCAGGATAACTACACAACTTTGAGATATCTTTTATACAGTTATCATTTTCTTGCACCTTTGTGGTATGAGTAGTAAGATTTTTCATGTGTCCGGAACAGGTACTGAGCGCTTCCTGTTGCTCATGTATTAGGTGTTGATTCGGTGAACAAAGATCCAGTTATCAATCTCCCCCTCCACCCTGTTATGTTAGTTTGAAAGATTTTCACCCTGTCCTATCCATCCTATTGTGTAGTTCTGTGTAATCACATGCATATCTGGATGGCTGAGCATTTTTCTAAATTCCTTACCTCACTAGGATCTATCAATTTTGACTTAGCTAGGTTTTTGTGTTTGGATAGCCTAATTGACTGACCCTGGTCGACTACTTTGACCTATGTATTTGACTTCTCAACCGTTGGCAGGGATTTGGTAAACTAAGTTATTCTGCTTAATTGGATCTATGGGATCTTCCAACCTACGAAGTTTATTTAGAAGTGAGTTTGTGTGTTTAAGTGCCACTCTAATCCCAGTCAGCTTTAGTGAGAATCTTACGTAGTGTTTCTGAGGTGCCTTCTTTGTATGGTGATACTGTAGAAGTTTTGAATTCTCTCTTCACAGTATTGCCACTACTATTATTAACATCACTATCACCACTATTATTACTATTACTGTTGCTATTAGTACCATTATTATCACTACTATCAATAACTTTGTTACTGATATTTTTCTTACGATTCCTACGGAACTTATCAATTATCAATCAAAGGGTGATTGTTGATGAGTAAGGTGTCTCTAAGGTATCTGTTTACTTTTCTTAGATCTATTTTACTAGTAAGTTGAAACGACTGCGAGGTCAAACACATAGGTCAAAGTAGTCGACCAGGGTCAGTCAATTAGGCTATCCAAACACAAAAACCTAGCTAAGTCAAAATTGATAGATCCTAGTGAGGTAAGGAATTTAGAAAAATGCTCAGCCATCCAGATATGCATGTGATTACACAGAACTACACAATAGGATGGATAGGACAGGGTGAAAATCTTTTAAACTAACATAACAGGGTGGAGGGGGAGATTGATAACCGGATCTTTGTTCACCGAATCAACACCTAATACATGAGCAACAGGAAGGGCTCAGTACCTGTTCCGGACGTATGAAAAATCTTACTACTCATACCACAAAGGTGCAAGAAAATGATAACTGTATAAAAGATATCTCAAAGTTGTGTAGTTATCCTGATATGATTATGGACAATAAATTATGTCCGAAACATAATCCACTGAACAATACTGTTCCTTCACTGTGTGATAAATCTGATAAATCAATAAAAATGGAATTACATTCTACCAAAGTGCACAAGTTTTACTCTCGTATTTGTTTAACTCTGTAGGATAGTTACAATAATTATTTAATTGGACGTAGTAACGAAGATAAAGTTCGATGAACATTAAAAATTCGCACGTGAAAATTAATCACAGCATAGAAACGAACGTTATTAGTCGGATAGGATATAAACTTGTATAATATATGATTTTCAAGAAAAAAGGCAGGAACAAAATGAAAACAATTTTGAGTTATGAAAATATCATTTTGACTAAGATAGCTCATCATCATCAACATAGGACCAGGCATTACTGCGTAATGGTCCGAGTTGCCATACCTCATATCACCACATCAAATAAGAACGCAGTGAAGTGGAAGATGAAGAAAAGAAAATCCTGTCAAAAGAAATATAAATTACTAAGCGAGGGAAAGGAAGAATGAGAAAATGGTGAGATTTTGTATAGCGTCTTTAAGACGAGAATAATGTGTGCATACATCTACGCCACAGACTCCGGTTCTGAGTCATATCGTCCAGAATCAGTCGCCAACCACTGATTTCTCTTGTCTCACCAACCCCAACCATTTAGTCTGCATCGTCCCACATGACTCAAACCAACAGTCAAACACTTCATACATTGATGCCATGTTCCAATCTGGCCGCCTCCAGCCTTTTTCCATCCTGAACCTACATTGCCCAACATTGTGTGACGAGGAAGACGACGACTAGGCATACGTAACACGTGTCCCAGCCAGCCATCTCAGTCGATGAAGGTTCACAACCATGTCAACTGACTTGCCTCTTCTCCCTAAAACTTTACACCTGACTTCTGCGTTACTCACCTGGTGGTGACACCACGGAATACGTCCTATACTACGAAGGCGATGGTGGTCAAACATCTGACGCCTTCTCAAGTCTTCCAACTTCAATGGCCATGTTTCACAACCATACAGTAGAACAGATAGCTGTGGTTTGGCAGACCAGTATTGATACTGAGTGATGATTGAAGGTGAAATGAAAATTTGGATCGCGGTGGGATTTGAAGCGGTGACCACCGGGTTGACAACAAAATTCTGAATAATGAAAGGGAGACAGAGGTCGATTTATTTATGATTGTTAGTTTATTAAGTGGAAGGTTTTACAAGTTTCTTTTGTACACATAATTTCGACTCCTCCATACATATGACAAGAGCTTCTGCAGGAGGACAGAAAAGATAGGAACACACCATTTTTGGTAAGTTTCTTTTCACCTTGTAGATGATTTTGAACGCTGAATTAGTGTCGATATGGTGTTCTGTTATTGCCCTTTTGATCGATGCACTCGCACCTTTTTGCATCCTTGGGGAGGAGGGGGGGGTCAATGTTTTCCAACCTGTTTGGAAAGATTTTGCCGATGCAAAATCGAACGACGTACATATCTAGCTTCACAGGAGCAGATGAATTGATAAACACGTCTGGAAGTAGTCAAGTACGAAGGTTTATCTTTCGGGTTATCATTCAACGACTGAAGAATACTATCTTCAACATTGACGCGAAGAATCCGTTTAAAATTTCTTTTTCGTTTTCAAAATATCAGCAACGAAGTCACCTGTGTAATCATAAGACTCATGTATCATCTATCCAATATAGGTAAAGGAAATATGTAAATTGCTACTGTACAACAATAGAGAATGAAATCGCCAAGAAAGAGATATCTTCACCGAACTTCTCATTTTCTCTTATATATTATACATATAATAATTTATTGTTATTCATTTCCTTATTAATTTTTAGGCAGTATTATTTCCTGAACGTATATGTGAAGGTATTTCATCGGATCAAGATGAAATATTCCTTGAAGTGATTATTGATCAATTATTTCATTGTATTCGTTCAAATGCACAATCATCTTCAAGTCATAATTCTTTCTATAATACAGCTTCTTCTTCTTCGACGTCTAATACATATAACAATACTGGAATGAAACAGTCTCGAATTGGTTCAAATTCCATTACTGGTCTATTAGGGAATTTTGATCAATCGGTTTGTAGAGTTCTTGGCTTAAAAATTAAATTGGTTCGACGTAAAACACCTTGTTTAGCAATTGAATTAGAACAGGTTGGTGGTGTAATATATATATATATATATATATATATATATATATATATATATATATATATATATATATATATATATATATTGTATATACATTTTTGTATTTTTGAGATGAATGGGGATATTAATTTTAAAATAGTATTCATCATAGACTGACATTAGTTGGGGAACCATTAAGAACTTGGCAGAACTGGACAGCTGTTTCATCCTAGTATGGGACTCCCCACCAATATGCACCCACGACCCAGCTAGGGGTCGATGAGATTTGGTTGAAATTATCAATTAATGCAACTAACACCTTCAAGAATAAAGATCATCTGCATCTGTGTAGCTTAGTACCATAAGTCATACACGTAGACAGACTGTTCAGCTTCGATGCAGACACTTCAATAAAGATCAATGCGAATCGATCAATAACTCTATGTTAAAACAGTTGGTTGCGAGTGGACATATAGTTCCAGAAGATTCGCTTGGAGTATTTCACAAAATACAACGTAATCTTCTGAAGGGTGTAAGAAAAAGTTTAGTTTGCAATCTTGAAGCTCTAACAATACAGCAAGTGAGACTGAAACTCTGTATATCAAGAAGCAACTTAACTATTCAGTGTCAATTTCCACTTCTTAATGTTCGAAACTCTTCCATTTTTGAGCCTGACTAAACGTTTTATGACTTTCATGTTAATACTTTTATGAACATGCTAATACTGAATAACTTGAGTAGATAGAAACCACTCAAGCTGGTCTGTATTATTTTGTCAGTTAGATCAGAGTGATCTAAATACCAGATGGCTGTTCCCCTCGTTTGGGGCCGAGCTCATCAGTGGTGTACCCGGACAAATTTAGCTCGTCCCATTTGGAACTCGTCAGCTGGATGTACCTGCCCTCTAGTGAGTGATCTTGTCCCCGCCAGAGATCGAACCCGGAACCGACCTCCTCAGACACCAAAGTATTTTCCGCTAGACCAACGAGTCACGACAGCCACTTCTTATGCGGCAGGTATAATTTAATTATTGTTGTCAATAGAGACCGATCACTTCCGTCCAATCAACGTGGATAATGCAAGCAAGAATAATAAAACTATGCCCATCGCCCAAGAAGGAGCCATCGTGACTCAATAGCTTAGTGGATAACGCTCTGGCGTTTAGAGCGATCGGTCCTGAGTTCAAGTTCTAGTAGGAAGAACATTACTCAATGGGATGCAGGTAAATCCAGCTGACGAGTCCCAAATGGGGCGAAATACGCTTCTCGGATTTGACTGTCAGCCACTATCCATCATTAGTTTACTCACTTTGTTATGGATTCTTCAAACTTTGATTTCAACTCACTTATCTATGTTGTCAAATATTATCATGATTCTTATGTGCCTCCTTTTCCTAAATTATGAATTATTTACGTACTTCGGGACGATGAGTGGAATCAGGAAAGAACTTACATCTTCACGATTCGAACCAGTGACTGTGTGCTGAGTTTCTTTTCAACTTCTGTCAATCATCCTCATGTATGCAGAGATGAGTCTACAATCCGCGTCTATTTAAGATAATTACTAATTAATTAAACTAGAACGTGATGAACCATATCCATCATCAGGAAAATATGCTACAAATACAACAAAGTGACAAATATCAACAAAATGTTACCCAGTAACTAAGGCTAGGTTCATCAACTAGGCAACGAGCCTAATCTATACTATGACAGCTTCTGATACTCTTGTGATATTCTTGATTACCAATGCGTCGAAGTGGTCTTTGCTAATATTATAAATCCTTAGAACTGAGTTATTCGGCTCAACCATTTTGCAGTTACCAATACAAGATACAGCATTATTATTATTTGTCCCTTGGATTCCTAGTGAAAAATAGGGCTTCAGTAGCACGTTGCCATTTCACTCTCTTCACTGCAGTCTTCTTAACCTGGCTCCACGACTCCCCATAAGCTTTCATTTCTTCCTCACATTATCTTCCCCATGTCACCCAAACTCAGACTCCCATCTCGTCGTTCTCCATTTCAGCTCCACTCGACTGCCTGGCCCGGCCTGATACGTGATGTCCTAGAATGGTCTTCTCAGTGTATGGCCAATCCATCCCCACTTTATTCTGCATATTCATAGCGAGATAGGTTCTCGGTTGGTTCGTTGTGGGGCCACAGTTCCTCCTTACTTGTTTTTATTATTCTGGCCATCCATCCGATCTTTACTGTCGACTGAGCGTAGGCAGCACCTATTGATGATGTATGTCTTTAGTTTGTTCGACATGCATTTCGTAACTCGCCTAATCTCTCAACCATCATATAGAAGCGCTGACTTGAACTTAACTGATTGAATTCATGTTGAAAACCCACATCTTGTTCACACTTTATGCTGAGTGCAGTCAGTACAGTAGATCTCTACACTGATTTGATTTCAGATTAATGAAGGCCTGACTATCTTGCTATGTTTCTGATCCTGACTGGCTTTGACATCCTCATCTGTGCCACCGCCGCCACCTGTAGTTGGAACGATGCTTCTGAGGTAGGTAGGTAAAACAGACTTTTTAGTTTCCGCCTATACATCTTCCAGTTTGTGCAACATAACACATTACACATAAATCATCATCTGCGGCGAAATACAAATCTTCTTCTGGGGTCTTGTCATCCATCCAGTCAGCGTATACCCATCTTCTCACTCCTCATAGCTGTTTCTTGCATGATCCAGTCCAGTCCAGTTCAGTCCACTCAAGTCGACCACAATCAGGAAGATCATGAATGGGTGATAGTAGGTGGTAACCTTGTCTTACTCCTTCCTGTCTTCACTCCACTTCACTTCACTTCAAAGACCTCACTGAGCTTTCCATTGTATTATGAATCACTTGTCATGTAATATCCTCATATAGCATACAGTAACTGTTGAATGAGGTTGATAGAGGTTTGTGGTACTAAAAGCGTAGTGTTGTAGCAGCTGCCTGCCAAAAGTTGATGAAGTTAAGGTACAGGTATAGTGGATTGCCATTCTATGCTCATATAGTTCACTATAAATATGTATAGGTAGCCATTCTCTAACAGTATTTTTCGGAGGGTTTTTAATTCTTGAGTAAGTATATCATCACTGCATATCTTTCAAACTAGATACATATAGTTTTTATAAAAAAGTTTTGTTTTTCTGCGTGACTGTTTATACACTAATGTAAATTCTATTCCCAGAAGCACTTAAAGTTTTGTTCATTTAAACGAGTCTCATTTGTAGTTGATAAAACAGAAGTGAAATCATGTGAATATGTGTATGTTTTACTCATTTAACATAACTTTAATTTGACTTTAAAGGCCACCCTAGCAACTGCTGAAATAATCAGGTCACAATATTCCAGCTAGAAAGGCAGTTTTTCATATAATAATGAGATGCAATTGGTTACCTTAGCAACTACTAGAGTAGCCTTTGAAGTCATCCACAAAATAAATGAGTTGAGATGTTTTACAATTATATTAATGATGGATAGTAGCTAGCAGCTGAATCTACGACGCTGATTTCATCTTATTCGGGACTCGTCAGTTGGGCATACCTGCCTTCCAGTGAGAGATGCTGTTCTCACTAAGCCTCAAACCTGGGTTCAACCTCTTCAAATTGCAGAACATTATCCATTAGACTACTGAGTTAAGATAGCCATTTTTTTATGATGGGTATAGTTTTTACAAAGTAATGTTTTACGAATACGGCCTTTTTAACAACTTGACATTTCAGTTTGTTTATTTGTTTGCCATGCCGTTTGCACTAGAAGATCTCACGAACGTGAAGAGTGTGCTATTTTCAGGGTCGACCTTTCCCAACCTTTCCGCCACCTTCTCATAGGCAAGGGAGGATAAGCACACCCCCATCCAGTCACTAGTACGACTTCACCTTTGCCATTATCCAACAGAATTTCCTGAAATGGCAGAAGCTCAAGGGACCTAGCGTTTTCACTAGCATAGCTCGTTGGGTCGTTGTGATATACAAGTCCGACTACCACGTCAGGGTAGCAGATGTTGGTGGAGTAAGCGTTCTTCATTGAAAAACTGTACAACTGAATATAGTAATATATCAATTCGAATGGCTTCTTCAATAGAGATGGACGAAAGAAAGTTTCAATATTCTTGTACAAAATTATATGATTTCATGGCTCACTCAAAAGAAATAAGAATTTTCATTCACCATTCACTAAGACACTGTACTTTACCAGGGTGTTTACTGATAATTTTACTTTTTTATTTTTATTGAAAAACAAAATTATTTAGTCCAGCATTACAGGTCGTTCACGTTCTGTTTGGCATTTTATTCCTGTTCAAGTCGTTCCACCGCGTTTATGGGATGAATTCATAGAGCCTGCAGATCCTGAATTTGATGTGAGTAATATTACCTAGAAATTGTATTTACTATGCTTGTATTCAATAAAATAAGTGTTATCTTTCAAATTTCTATCATTGTTTACTCTGTCTATGATATCGAGTATTTGTATGTATGTGTTATGATGGTATGCATACTTCCCTTTGATTTACGAGGTATAAAAAGTGTAATCAGCTGATGGAAGAGACATAGACATATCGTAATGGATGCAAGATATTTTAGAGGGAGGAATTGAATACAACCGTGACCAATGTTCCAACCAACTACTTGCATACAACTAGTCCACATTTTGATATAAAGGATGAATAGTTGGTAGTTTTGAGTACCAAGACGTTTATTTCCATGCTAAATAGCGGTTGACCTTATTGCGCGAGAATTTTCGTTAGACCTAGAATACGCAAATGACATAGTCCTGTTAGGTGAAGACGCTGACAAGATACAGAGTCTTCTGAACACTTTGAGTGGCTGTTTGAGAATGTTTCGGGTGAGTTTCTCACCGCCCAAATGCAAATTGTTGCTCCAGGATTGGTCTTCAACAGTGCCTTGGTTAATAATAGAGAGTGTGTCGTGGTTGAGTGTGTTGACCGAGGAAAGCATAGCAGTTTGGTATTACTTTTGTGCATACTACTGAATCTTGTTGGTATTTTATTCATCTTAAAGCGTTGTAGAAGATAAAAGAAGAAACGCAATCAATAACCTTGTTCAAATTCGTGCAGTAGTCAGTGAATCACATCTATTGTGTGTGTGTGTGTGTGTGTGTGAGGGGGGTGAACTAGCGATACTAACTGGTCACCCGAACCTTGGGGTTCGGTTCGAACTCATGACCCACTGGCTGATAGTTATCCCCCTTTCAGGGTAGTATTCATCACGAATGTACATCAGATAGAGAACCGCAGTTAACCAGAGAGGATTTGGACAATTGTTTCATCCCAGGATGAGACTCTTGAATAGTCAGTAAGCATCTACGATTCTACCAGAGATCGAACTCAAGACTGTCAAGTATTATGGCGAACACCTTCCCATTCAGTGACAGAATCCACATTTTGTACTTTTATCGATTTTTGATAGTGTTTTCTAGATTCCTGTATTCAGTAAATATTAAGACATAGTCTTCAGCAATGGTTGAAGCTGATTCATTTACACTATCAGTGTTTTTGCATCGTTGAATTTGTTTACCATCATGTGTTGTCTATTTATTACTTTACTCCTGTCAACTTTCTGTTAATTTTTCAAAATGTTTTGTTTTCCAATCCATTAGGTTAGTATTTTATTTCCACCATTGAAAACTCTACGTCCATTTGTTGATCGTATGAAAAAGTTTGCAAAGTACATTGTAAGTAGTAGTGGTAGTAGTAATGTTATTTTTAAGATACTTTTTCCATGAATTTCGTTAGGTAATTCAAAGTACAGAAAAACAAGGAATTAGTTGTTAACTTTTTCAAAAAATTAGTTTTTATATTTTTGAGATGAATGGGGATTTTTAATTTAGAGGTAGTATTCATCATGGATTGACATCAGTTGGGGGAACCATTGAAAACCTAGGAGCACTGGACAGCTGTCTCGTCCTAGTATGGGGCTCCTCAGCAGTACGCACCCACGACCCGACTAGGGGTCTAACTCAGGACCTTCAGGTTTCACGGCGAACGCGTTAACCATTCAGCCACTGGGTCGGTTTCCAGTGGTTCACAATTTCCAACTTCTGTCAATTCACGACATTGCGCGACTGTCACCAAAGGTCTTCCCCTTCAGTTAGCATCCACTTCACTTCCGACTGGTTGACCCCATAGGTCACGGCTTCTCATTAGAACTTGCTGACATCTATCTGGAAGCAAGTCACTAATGAGCAGAGTACTATAGAGTAATGTATTTTAGAGATAAGTGGGGATTTTTAATTTAGAAGTAGTATTCATCATGGATTGACATCAGTTGGGGAACCATTGAAAATCTAGGAGGTTCTGAGTTCGATCCCTAGCCGGGTCGTGGGTGCATGCTGTTGGGGCGTCTCATACTAGGACGAAGCAGCTGTCAAGTGCTGCCAGATTTTAAATGGTTCCCCAACTGATGTAAGTCCATTATGATTACTACCTCTAAATTTGTTTTTAGTTGAAGTCATTTAAGTGAACAAAGAATTTTCTCTACGATAACTTCTTCTCTAGGTCCTACAGTTATGTGTACACAGTGAAGAATTATGCGTCAGCTATATTGAGAACTTGCTTATTTTGTCATGAATAGTATACGGTTGAGGAAGTCACCAGTATGGTTAACTGAAGGTGTGTTAAAGACCATTGCCAATTACAAACTAACCATACAGTGGATATGAATAAATCGTTTCCGATTATGTTTGGGGTTCTTATCAACTTGCTAAAAGGTACTCGGCTGCGAATCTTTGAGATCCTTAAGCAATCATGATCAAACAACCGGAGTTGTGTTCAAAAAACAAATGCTACCGCTACAACTACCATAGCCCGATTTGGGACGTATAAATTCATTTACATCCTACCCCATGTAACCTAATCTTCTAATTCCATACTGTAGATATCCCTTCATTCCTATAGTGTGGAATAGTTTTAGCATATTCTCCTAACCTATTTCGTTAATAACATTCTATCAAAATATTATTCATTAAATTATTTTTCTTAGTTTGCTTCATCCAACTCTCATAAACACCTTCCTATTGTTTTATTAAACTACCACCTTATAGGATTACCTTCACCGTATAACCGTTTAGATAATCAGTTATTTTGAAGTGAATTCCAGTAATAATTAATTCTAACATTAACGTTTACATAAGACTTTTTTGAATTGACTTCCTCAACTGTTATAATATTATAAGAAAACTGATAAGTGGAATCTTAATATTGTTGATGCATAATTCCTCAATACGTACATATAACTGAAGGACCTGAAGAAGAAGTTATCGTAAAGAATATTCTCCATTCGCTGAAATGGTTTTCGAATTATAAATAGATATCTTTAATGTCCAATTACGTCTCAATATTCTATGAAAAACTACTCCTTCCCAACCGAAGTACCGAAATCTGATTGGTTATTTCAGCAGTTCCTAGGGTGTCCATTAAAGTCACTGCATTTGATAGGCTTAACATTTTTATATCATCATTGAGAAATAGAAGTAACTTTAAAGGTCACCCTGCCAGACGCCTAAATGATCAATTAGGAATTGGTATCTCTACTGAGAAGGGAGTTTTATATAAAATGAAGAACTATCATTAGCCATTAAATTAACCCAGATATAGCAGTGGTTGTCTTTGAGGCCCACACTACCAACCACTGAAGTTACCGGTGACTGCAAAGACCACCCTAACAACAACTGGAATAACCAATCAGACTTTAGTATTTTATGAAAATATTCCAAGATGCTTTATTGTGGACGCCAGAATTTACAAACCATAGATCTTTTGGACACTGGTAACGAAGTTAAAAAATAGAGCACAAGAACTGTAAATGAATACTACTTGATGTTGTCTATATTAAAGCATACTGGGGATATCACGTGCCAGACCAGGCCCTTGAGTGGAACCTGAAGGGGAAACGACGAGTTGAGCGTCCGAGGGTGACATGGAGGAGGTCGTGCGAGAAAGAAATGAAAGCTTGTGGGCAGTCATGGAGCCATGTTCAAAAGACTACAGAGAACATAGTGAAATGGTGACGTGCTACTGAAGCCCTATGTTCCATTAGGAACCCAAGGGATAAATAACAACACTAAAGCGTAACCACTACCATTCTGTTTAATCTTGAGTTCTCTGTTCGAATTTTGTGGTTCATTTATGCAATATGATTATTAAGTTTATAAGACTCATCATCATTGCAGTACATTTTAGTGGAAGTGGAAGAATTCACCAGAAAGCGTGGTCTCCTACGTTTTATGCTTATTCAAATTTATCAGGATATCGATTTTCTGAAGGCTTTAGATATGCAATGCTCAAGACTTCTTGCCAGTAAGCATAAAATCGAAGTCTATATCCTTATGGCGACCGATTCTGATCACAAAAAACCACGCTTCACTATGCGGATGTAATATATTGTCTATTATATTATTATTTGTCCCTTGGGTTCCTAGTGGGACATACATTTTCAGTAGCACCTCTCCGAAACACTCTCTTCTCTGCAATCTTTCGAAACTGGCTCCACGACTGCCCACAAGCTTTCATTTCTTCCTCACACCATCCCCTCATGTCAACCTCCCCTCGGACGCCCAACTTGTCGTTTCCCATTTGGCTCCCACTCGAGGGCCTGGTCTGGGTCGTGATGTCCCCAATTGGCCTTCTCATTGTATGCCCAATCCATCTCCACTTCCTTCTGCATATTTGTTGGGTAATAGGTTCTTGGTTGATTCGTTGCCAGAGTTCCTTGTTGCTTATTCTTTCTGGCTAAACGTAGCATTGTACGATTGTGACTTTCCTTCCTTTTGAGTTGAACCTTGCTGTCATGATCCTGCATGAGGAGATTGGTCCCCACTGTATGAGAGCCTTCGATGCTCTTGGGGACATCATGATGGCCACTCCCCCCGTGTGCTCGTGGTTGTCGTCTGGATGACAATATCGTAGTAGATTATTGACTCTCCAGTTGAAATTTTGGAGAGTCCACTTCCATTCCACCTGCTTTTGCAAATTCCTAGCACTTCAGTGCTATACCTTCTCATCCGTTTTGCAATTTGAACAGCTTTACTAGGTTCATACATGGTGTGGACATTCCATGTTCCCATCCTTACTTTCGCTTTCATGGAGAGAAGAGAAGACACATCAGCCCGGCTAATTGGCTTCCCGAATACTTTCACCAACCGGCGTCCTTTCGCCTCTCCGATCCCAGCGAGGAATAATTTGTTTTTATTTTTTATATTTTGTTTTTGTTTTGAAGTTTCTTTAGCAGTTGGATTGCTTTTCCGGTGTAGGGTTTCTAGCCCTACGCCTAACTTTCCCTCTTTTCCGGGCTTAGGATCGGCTAGTAACTGGTGAACTAGTTAACCTGGTGAGGTTAATATATTAATGACATTTCAATATTCATCATAATCGACATAGAATCAGGCATTACTGTACAATGGTCCAAGTTACCACGCTTCATATCAGTATATTAAGCGAGAAGGTACTAAGATGAAAGGTAAGGAAGTAAAAGAGGAACTAAAAGCCGAAGAAATTAGTTAAAGATAGCAAGAAAATACTGAATTCAGTATAGAGAATAAGATAAAGGAGATATGTGTGGATACTTCTACACTATTAAGATCGATTCCGAGCCATTTCACCTAGAGTCCCCAACCACCGGTTTCTCTTGTCATACAGACCACGATCATGAAGTCTAAATATACCTACACGCGCCACACCAACAGTTAAAGACCTCAGGGTCTGGTATCATATTCTATTTTGACTGCCCTAACTTTTTTCCAGCCTTATCTTACTTCAACTAACATTGTTCAACAAGGTAGATGGTGACTAGGCATATGTGTCACATGTCCCAGCCACCTCAATCAATTGAGGTTCACAATCTCACTTTTCCCTAAATATTTATACCTGACTTCCGGCAAACGATGAGAGGATACCCCCCATAAGACTGTGTGTAATGAAGCTGAATAAGAATGAAGAGAGGGACATCCTTGACGGACTCCACCCGACGTACACAACTCACCTGACAACGTACCATAGACCCTAACACACAAATAGATGTTTAAGTATGTAGCCTTCAACAGAGTGATGTACTTTCAATGACAGACACTGCCATAAGACCTTTTGATCTACACGGTTGAATTCCGCTAATGTTGGGCACTGGTGATTGTGCCTGTGTTTCAGAACTCGGTGTAGGGTGGTCGATACACCCGCTGCCAGGTCTGAAGCCGCCTGCTTGCTGTTTCAGAGCTTTCACTTTGACGTCTGATGATTATAGACTTTAGAATTTCAGAAACTATTTTCGTTGAACTGACTCCCTCCCTCTGTGGTTATTACAAGAGGAGGACTTCTCAATTTTCTTGAAGGCTTGGACAATCATTGTTTGAGACTAGTCAGTATTTTTCTGTCCACTTGTTCCTTGTGTGCTACTTGAACTGATTCACTTGTTTGTGAGGTTTTACTTTGATTTTGTCTATTTATACATATGTAGTCAAACTGAAAGCGTAACGTATTTGTAAATATGTATGGTAATGATGGGTAGTGGCTAGCAGTGGAATCCAGGATGCTCATTTTGTCCTATTTGGGACTTCACTGCTAGCCACTATACATGATTAAAGCAGGCAATATCGAGGCATCCTCACAGGAGCCCAGCAGTGACTGATCGATTCGGTCCAACCAACGATGGTGTAATGCAAGCAATAACACTAGGTATTTGTAAATACTTGATACATGGTGATTACGATAGATAAAAGAAAACCCAGTGTTGTGTTCTTACCAAGTGAGCTATGAGATGTGATTGCTGAACAGATCTTAACTTCATTTATTTGAATGCATAATATGTAACTATGCGTCTTCTTGTTACCACACTACCTTCCCAGCCATGTTTCATCCTTCTAAATTGTTATATGTACATAGAGGAAGGTGTGAGAATGGAATTTTCATCGGTTGTTTGCTGGCTGGTGAAGGTGGGTGGTATTGAAGCCAAGTCAAGTGATTTTCTCTTGTTAAAATCTATTGAAACCATCTTAAGGGGTGAAGATCCCGCTATGAGATATTCGTTGCAATCGTTTGATCAGTTCAGAACAACTTCAGCATTGATTTAGTGGTTCATGGATTCGTCACCGAGTTTCTATCAGTACACTGAATGTGAGGTTACTCGTTTATTAGTTTGTTATCACAAGTTTGATGGTCTAATCGGTATTCAATAGACATTATTCTGCTACAGTTATTGCATAGTCTAACGAGCTAACAATGACATCTAGACCTTCAATGATTGAAATATCATTTAATGATATAACCTTTTGTTAATTACGTCTATTTCTTTCTCTCCATTTTTTGTTTTCGGAACAGATAATCAGTGCTAATGGTTCTGGTGAATTACATTTTGGTGTCAATGTTGAAACACTTGCTTGTGTCAAATTAACATTTCGAGGTTTAAAAGCGCGTAGTTGGTTACCACAAAACTCGTGTACAGAGGTGAATGATTCAATGGATGATGCACGTAGTGCTGTTTGGGAATCTAATCGTCAACCGTATGATGTTGATTTGGATAAATCAAAACAGATACACTGTGAAGATCCAAATAAAAAATTTGTTTCAGTTAGTTTAGATTTACGACGTATCGGTCAGTTATTATCAAGTCCACGGATTATTCCATCATGTTTTGTTTGTAGTAAGTCCTATGTATTCTGTGTACATGTGGTGTTTTCTTGTTTATTAAAGATAACCATAAGGTCATAAAGTTTACACGTAATTGTTACGGCTGCCTAGTCCCTAAGAAAAACTAATCCATAGTATCTAAATATTATCACTGTAAAATTAAAACCTTGTTCTCGCGCCCTTTCTGCGTCAGGGTAGGTTACTTATTTTTACCGCAGTTTAGGATACTAAACGCTGATTGGTCCATTTTACACTTTCAATATGCTGTTTTGTTTTCCCTGGCCAAGGCCATCTAAAGATATATAAACGACTCAATTTTCAGCTATGAATTGTTGGTTGAAGCAAATATACTTTCAATCCTATTGTCTTCTTTTGGTGTCAGCTGTATATCGATTTGAGAAGTAATTGTTCTATCGTTAATGCAACTGTGTCGGAGCATTATATCATTACATACACTGTGAATCATAACAGTCATAGTTACAACAGTGACAAAATCAACTTAGAACATTGGACACAAGTGCATCAGTTCAAGTTTTCATACTTCACAAAGCATCCAAAGAACAAGTGGATACAAAAAGACTGATATTAAAGTAGACAATGGTGTATAGAAGAAGAAAAAGAGATTTTACAATGAAGGTTAGTGAAAATATTCAGGCTTTGTTGGACGTCAAGGAGTGGATACATCTGCGTTATTGTGACCGATTTTAAAACCATTTCACCAGGAGTCCTCAACTACTAAAATTCCTGTTATCTTGGGGATCTTAGTCGGGCAGCCTACATCTCACCATATAGCTCAGACCAACAGTTGGAGACTTCATGGATTAGTACCATGTCTTAATCTGGCCACTCTTAGCCTTTTCCTCCCAACCTAATCCAACTTCTTCTAACACTGAATATCGAGGTGGGTGAACGCGTACTGATTCTAAACGCAAAACAAAAAGTTAACTAACATTTTTGACACCGTCACTGAAAATTGATACCAATGCCTCAAATACATTCAGTCTATACTCTGAATAATATGTTTATAATGTAGTGGGCACTGCTGATCAGAATGGATATAAGTAGCATATGTTAAGAGGGTGGCAGAAGTCACAAGCAATTGCCAGCAATAGGTGAAGATTCTGCCCAGAGAAATGGAAGAGACAAGGTGAGCGTATTAAGAGCAAATCAAGATAGAAGCAGAAGAGGAAATGAGGCACATTATTCAAATGACTGTTTTAGTGGAAAGTGGAAAATATCTCATCACTACTGTATAAAATGTTAGTGATAAACATTCCTTCCTGCATCTCAGTCTTCTCGTTTCCTACAATAGTATGTTTACAACGGGTGATGATTGAAGGTGAAATGAAAATTTGGACCGCGGCCGGATTCGAACCAGCGGCCACCTGGTTTCCAGCTCGGTGCTTTACCGACTGAAATATGAGGTCCGACTGCTCACCGAAGTTTTATTTCACTTCAATCACAGGCGGGTTTTCCCCTGACTACCATTTGAATTCGTGACGCATTACTACCGCTTGATCGTATTAACACTGGCTGTCTAGTCAGGACTTCTTATCCCAATCCAAATGTAACTGAATTAGAGAGGAGGGGGAGCATTATATTGATTATCATTTTGATTATCTGAGATAGCCGTAGTTTGGCAGACTAGTATTTATACTGGGTGATGATTGAAGGTGGTCGTCGATTCTAATCCGGTCGCAGTTCAAATTTTCATTTCACCTTCAATCATCACTCAGTATAAATACTAGTGTGGCAAACTACAGCTGTCTTAGATAGTCAAATGATGATAGTATGTTTAACTATTCTTTACTACCTGAATTACATCCTATCTTTTAGTTCATTTCACCAGTTTATTGCTGCATGTTTCCTTCGTTTGTCTGTTGTTATACCATGTAGACAACTTGAACCGACAATAAACAGACATAAATAATGAATATAAAATGCGTTACATAATGCATGTTGGTTTAATCTGTCACACTTTACATCAGCACGTCGGCATACATTGTGACCAGTAAGGTAAATCAATAAAATGCCACCTAAGATGATTCATAAAATCAGTAGCTATGAAAAATCAAAGTTAGTGGATTTACTACTAGTAGTGTGAACATATTCACTTTTTGAAAATAGTTATAGGATATGAAAATATAATAACTATGATTCGAACTCAACACTTTTTCAAAAAACTTCCCTGTTGATAGTTCATAAATCTTTGTTAGTTTAATAATAATCTCCTTTTCTGCAATCGCTATTATCAATTCATGCCAAGTGATTGACAATGGGAAGCTCAGTGATGCCTTCGAAGTGAAGACAGGAGTAAGACAAGGTTGCCACCCACTATTACCCATGATCTTCGTGATTGTGGTCGACTGGATCGGACTGAACTGGACTGGATTGGATCATGCAAGAAACAGCTATGACGAGTGAGAACATGGGTATACGCTGACTGGATCGATGACAAGACCCTAGAAGAAGATTTGTATTTCGCCGTTGATGATGATTTATGTGTAATGTGTTATGTTGCACAAACTGGGAGATGTACAGGCGAAGAGTAGCAAGTTGGTAGAAGAGACGAGGTCTGGCGAGGCGAGGCAGGGAAGGGTAGGGTAGGGCAGCGAAGTAAGACGGTACTTCGTTTAGGTGAACGTAGAGAAGACAGAGGTGATGAAGATATCCAGCCAGTCAACAAAAGCAACGAGAAGAAGAGGCATCGTTCACCATGATGGGGGGAGAAATGTAAATGAAGTTGTCTCTTTCACTTACCTACTTACCTACCTACCTACCTATCCACGTACCTAGGCAGTATCGTTTCAACTACAGTGAATGGCGGCGACGGCGGTGGCACAGATGAGGATGTCAAAGCCAGTGAGGATTGGAAAGACAGCCACAGAGGCCTTCCTTCAATAATCTGAAATCAAATGAGTGTGGAGATCTGTACTGCACTGCATTCAGCATAAAGCGTTAACAGGATCCGAAATTTCGACACTAAGTCAGTGGAGTCAGTGGTTCTATGTGATGGTTGATATACTTGGCGCGTTACGAAGATCATTTCGAACAAACTGTAGACATACATCATCAACAGCTGCTGCTTATGCTCACTCGATAGTGAAGATCGGATAGATGGCCAGAATAATAAGAATGAACAACAAGGAACTCACTCTGGCAATGAACCAACCAAAAACCTATCGCCCAACAAATATGCAGAAGAATGAAGTGAAGATGGATTGGATTGGACATAGACTGAGAAAGCCGTTTGGCGACATCACGCGTCAGGCCGTGGAGTGGAGCTGAAATGGGGAACGACGAGTTGGGCGTCCGAGGATGACAATGAGGAGATGGTATGAGGAAGAAATGAAAGCTTGTGGGCAATCGTGAAGGCAGGTTAAGAAGACTAGAGAGAAGAGAGTGAAATGGCGACGTTCTACTGAAGCGGTATTTTCCACTAGAAACCCAAAGGACAAATAATGGTAATGAAATTATCACCACTTCGGTTACTGAACGGGCTTGGACGTATCTGGCATACATGCTTTCTGAGGCTCTACCTCTGTTTATTTTCCATCAGAAGCTGATGAGATCTTAAAACCGGTAGTTTTGAAATCAGTTTCGGAGATGTGATAACCTGACGTATACTTACTTCTCTTTGTCATGTGCAACTTTTTAATATTTACCTTCATTATATTGCATAGATTGTTCCCTAACCTCACTTTCTGTCGACCGTAGGACATTTCCATAGTGTTATTGCAGAGTGATTTGTGTGTCGACAGATCCAATTTCATCCCCACTGTCACAGTTGCCGGCATCCTCTTTGCAGCAATAACTCAGCGAGGATATTTGATGTCAAATTTCAAGTTGGACATAACTATTTATCGGAAATAGTACTTGTTGCGTGACACTAAGAATTGTTGGACTGCTCTCAATCTTTTGTAGTTTCTGGAACATTTTCATGATTAACTCACCTAATGGTCTAAATTTCTCCAACTGTTATTGTAGCAGAGATATTCTGAACAAATAATTAAGCCAGAGATCAATTTACTTACTGGTTTCGAAGGTGACTTACCTGCAGTAACCCTACACTACGAGTACTCTGCATTAAGTGATCTCATCAATTGGAAGTCACTGTACAGCAAATATACTTCTTGAATGATGGGGCTTACATGAATATGAAAGGTGCCTGAAGTCTGTGTATAATTACTGCCATTTGATCGGTTGCTCTTTCAATGTCTATTTCCACAAAAAGTATTTCCAGTGGAAGTATTCCATATTACCTATAAATTTAACATGGTAAACTGGAAATCTATTTACTCAGACATTCACCTTGAATTTATTACTGTGGATACTTACTGAAACTTCAGATCGTATACATGAGTCCTTTGTAGTTAGAAAAGCTACAAACTGAAGAATTTTCTAGTAAATAGACGGTTATGTTACTAAATAATAAACTATGCATATGGACTAGCAATGTTGGCTAGTTATAACGCAAACTTTGAATATTCCACACTTTTCATCCCAATAGTGGAACCTGTCTATGTATTGGGAGATGGTAAATTCACGTCCATCTCATGAATCGTAACAAGTTTCAATATGATTATGTGAATTATTTAGTACCAACTATCATTTTGTACACTTTCAAGAATTATCAATTTAATCATGCCTGTAAACCGGTATTTCTCATGTTTAATTCATTATATGACAATTATTATCATTATAAAAGTGCAAGAAACGTGTTTTTGTTTGATTGTAATAAATCGGCGCCTTAATGAATGGTCATGCTGTCTAGAACAGTCAATAGGACGTCTCATGCAAGTTGGCTCTGTATATCATTCAGCAGTCGATCAATGCTCAATACGAGATTAAAGGATAGCCTACCTAATCTTAGCCCTTCATTTTGCATATATTAATTTAACTGGAACCAGTTACATAGGGCGTGTGATTAGGCAGGTGCGTCTCCGGATACGAAAACATTTACCAGCTTGGTTTGGAAAGGGTGAAGTGAAAGTGGTGAAAAGTTCAGTTTTAGGGCATCTGGTCGACACATGGCGGCATCATATAGATGCTAATAAAGCTTTTAGTGTCATTCATCGTGTTCCAAAAACGACACTACATGTAGCTCCCCAACACCTGCTAAACATAGTGGAGGCTGTTGCAACAAGATTGATCAAGCCTGAATTCTTCATTCAAAAAGAACATGTCTAAGTATTACTTCTCCCTTGACCTTCAGCAGACTAAAGGCCACCCCTGCCATCTTATGCGTTATCATCCCAGTATTGACTAATTCAAAAAAGATAAATCGATTTCCTGACAATCCCTAGATCTGTCCCTGAAATACCTTCCTTTTACGTTGCAAAAATGCATGAAGTCGCACCGTCATTAGAACCTACACTAAAACTAATCCAGCAGGTTATCGCAGAAGAAGTTAGATATAAAGTCTCATATATTCTATCTAATCAAAAACGGTCAAATATGAACATATCAATAAAAGAGGAACGTGCTCTTCGCTCTTTAAAAAAATGATAACAACATACGGATTGTGAAAGCTGACAAAGGAAGCATAACTGTTGTCATGACCACATCAGACAATGGACAAAAGGTCACAGAGCACTTATCCAGTGGACCTTATGAAATGATGAGGAAAACAAGAAGCGTAAGCCTACACTTAACAGGGTGAAACTACAGATTAACAAATTACTATACAATCTGAAATCGAAATTAGGCAATTCCTTGTGGTTTAATTTAGCACTAAATAGTTATGCTGCTTCACGCTTCTACGGCCTTCCCAAAATTCACAAGCCCAATTTTCCAATTCGTTTAATTGAGGATTTTACTAATTCCCCAACATATAACCTTTCAAAATACCTCACAAAAATCCTTAAACCATTACAAGACAACTTGGTAAGTATCACTAAAAATTCATGAGACTTCAAACATAAATTATTACAAACAACGATTGAGGATGAAGAAACAATGGTTAGCTTTGACGTTGTTTCTCTTTATACAAATATTCCGATTGATGAAAGCATACAAGTTGTTGGATTTTTATTAGAGTCGGATACTTCTTTGTCACTTCGATGTACTATTTCCATCAGTGAAATCTGTGATGCACAGAGATTATGTCTGACCTCAACCTGTTTTACTTTTGAGGAAATCTTTATCATCAAACCAGTGAGGTAGCAGTGCGTTCACCTGTCTCACCCACTGTTGCTAATCTATACATGCACAAAGTAGAATCAGACCTACTTAGCCAACATAATTTAAAACCAAGAATATGGTGGAGGTACGTCGATGACACCTTCGTCATAACCAAAAAACAAGGTCTAGAAAATCTTTTTGAATATTTTAACAGCCGTCTCAATTCTACAAAATTCACATATGAACTAGAAACAGAATTCAGACCGCTATCTTTCCTAGACTGCAAGGTGATACGAAACAATGATGGGACATTTGACATTGATGTCTATCGAAAAGATACACATTCTAACAAGTACATTGACTTCGATTCGGCTCATCTATGGGAAACTAAGTTAAACGTTGACAAAAATCTATTGACGAGATCACAGAGGATACCAAACAAAATGGGATCTCAGAAGCAGATAGGCAACTTGTTCGGGAAGCCTTAAAATAAAATAACTGTCCGAAGAAACTATTAAAAAGGATAGAACATATTTTTATCGAGTAAAGATTTGGAAAAGCTAAGCCATAAAGATGGCATAAGTACTCCCTTATCGAACATCCACTTCAGAGGGAATAAGACGTATCCTTAATAGTTACAGCATCAGAGTATTCTTTAAGGTGATGAACACATTACACTCACACCTGTGTAAATTGGAAGATCCGATTCCGCATTTGGAACAACAGAACTGTGTTTATAAGGTAGACTGTAGTGAATGCCATGCCACATACTTTGCAGAGACATCACGTCAAGTACTAACACGTCTAGCCGAACACGGTCGAAGTTGCAAGAAACCACCAAAAAGTTCCTATGATCTAGAAAGACTTGAAAAAAAACTATCATCGCGGCTCATGCCTTATATTCAGGTCATAAAATATCATTCGAACAGACAAAATTTCTGCAAAAGGGTTTCCTTTCTCACAAAGAGCGGATCATTGCAGAAGCTTTGCACATCTGTTCGTACCCTTCTTCGGTCAATAGAAAAGATGGGTTAGACATCCCAATAATATGCCAAACATTAATGACTTTCATAGGCAGCTGTAGATAATATATGAAGAGAAGGTAGAACACAAATTCATTCCACATGATTTATTCCGAATTTGCTCTTGCTTGAATGGTTTCTGGTGTTATTTCGCTTAATCGTCTCAATCACGTCAAAAAATATATTGGTTGTATTTTAACAACTTGTCTATTCCTACTACACAACACTTTACTGATCTACTATTTTCATCAGTTTTATGCTCCTTTCTGAATTATATACATTCTATGAACCACCCTATATATTACATAATCCATTTTGTTATCATTCATATTCCAAGTGTTATCAAAAGTACTTTTATCAATATCATTTTTATTTACTTATTATATATTGTCTGATGTTCAAATATTCATCCTTCCCAACCAGTAATCTATTCTTTCTCACCCTTGATGATTCACAACCCCATTGTACTTTTCATAGACGAACTTAGGTTTTTTCCGGATCCTATTTTTGTTCCACCTAACTCGCACAACTGAGAAAAGACTCTCTGACCGATTTGCTTATTCGCTCACATCTAATTGGTTGATTGTAAAGGTCACCACCTTCTGTACCAAAACTATAATAACAGCCTGAAAACACTCTTGAAAAACATCTTCCTAGCAAGATCGAAACGTTGAGGAATAATACAAAATGTTTAGAAGTAGTATTCATCATGAACTGACATCAGTTGGGGAACCACTGAAAACCCAGGAGCACTGGACAGCTGTCTCGTCCTGGTATGGGGCTCCTCAGCAGTACGCACCCACGACCCGACTAGGGGTCTAACTCAGGACCTTCAGGTTTCACGGCGAACGCGTTAACCATTCAGCCACTGGGTCGGTTTCCAGTGGTTCACAATTTCCAACTTCTGTCAATTCACGACATTGCGCGACTGTCACCAAAGGTCTTCCCCTTCAGTTAGCATCCACTTCACTTCCGACTGGTTGACCCCATAGGTCACGGCTTCTCATTAGAACTTGCTGACATCTATCTGGAAGCAAGTCACTAATGAGCAGAGTACTATAGAGTAATGTATTTTTGAGATGAGTGGGGATTTTTAATTTAGAAGTAGTATTCATCATGGATTGACATCAGTTGGGGAACCATGATGTCAGTCCATGATGAATACTACTTCTAAATTAAAAAATCCCCATTCATCTAAAAAATACAATACAAAATATTTGTTGATTTTGTTATTTGTTCTAATATACTACCCCAGGACTACACAAGTAAAAATACACCTTATACGATGAAGCATAGTAACTCGGTGCTCAAGGTTTTTTAATCTATCCAGTCCATTTATATAGTAATGATGGGCAGTGGCTAGCAGTGGAATCCAGGATGCTCATTTCGTCCTATTTGGGACTCGTCAGCTGGATGTACCTGCCTCCCATATGCCAACAGAGACTGATCAATTCGGTCCAATCAACGATGGTGTAATACAAGCAATAACACTGAAAAAAAGCGAAATATCCAGTCCATTGTTGGTGAGGATAGCTTGAAAGAATATTCTTCTTTGTTCAAATTGTTGCTTTTTATAAAGTTGAATACGCTCTGCATGTTTTCATGTATGTGTTCACCAGTATGTGCCATTTGGAGTAGTTTCAAAGTTACTGTGGTTAGTACTTAGTTTTTCGTCTAACACAATCCATATATGATGGGTAAAAATCGGTTTGCACTCAGAAAATTCATTGCTCCTCCCGTGACTATTCAATGTATTCCCTTTAATTAGCTGTTCACGATATCTGTCATGTGGAAGAACTGTGCAAATACTTATATCTTTTTTCCCCTCCTTATTGTAGATATAATTCATGAGACATCGGCTCAATTTCTAATGTTATTCGACAATCACAAGCTTAAATTCAACATTCCAGCTTCTAATTTATAAGAAAAGAAACTAATGAACGTTAATATTTTTCTAAATTATATATTATGAAGAAATTCTATTTCCTTGAAAATAAAATTCTGTAAAACACGTACATTAGTCCTGGTGTTTTGTTTTCGAGTGAATTGTAGCACATTGTGTATGTATGGATAAGTTTTATGCTGTAAACTGTATATTTTAAATGGATGATAATGTGATAGGCTTCAAATAAAGAAGCTCAGATGACGATGGTCGTTAAAACCTTGACTGAATGCATAAACAGTTTGATGACTCTGGATTACTTTAAGTTTGTTGACTAATAATTATGTTTACTTAGATGACGTAGATTATCTGGAAATTGTGATGTATTTGTGCTATACATTTCGTACAATCTGATTATTCATTTGCTTGTCAAGTCAATTTATATATGACAACTAGAAGTGGGGGAAGAACAAATGTGGCGAAGAAATTCAATAATAAGAAAGGTAATGAAAGGAACGAAGTGATAAAATTTGAAGAAAACCTTGGTAATATGATGAAATAAGCATTATCAGAGTAGGCTTAGCGTAAGGACAAACTGTTTTTGCACACACAATGCGGGGTTAAATTTATTTATGGCTAGCGCCTCAACGAACTTAAGTATACGCCCCTGACAGCTTCTATATACAACTGTAAAGGCTGTTTAAATATCATTCTTGTATGTGACCTGTACCAATGTTAAGTTTTGCAATTGATGATGATGATTGTCTGCCGCTTGCACTTATCGATGTTAGTGAATCCAGCCATTTCAGTGCATGTTCCCCTACCGTCAAGTGCATATCACGATTAGTCCTCCTTATGTGGGTTTGTCCACACACATGTAAATTTACAAGTGCAGTGGGATGTGATGCAATCGTTTATACAGCGTTGAGGTCTATGTTGCAGAAGGTGTTTGGTCTTCTCAACTACGTTAAGCTTAACTGCAAAGTGTGTATAGTACGTTTTACTAACAGTAGACCTTAACCTTCGTTTTCATATTATGCTGTCAGATTCTCCTCTGTATGGTAACGCGATGTAAACGCATTTCTTCGAAACAGAGTATAGACGAAGTTTCAATCATGACTGATTTTCACAGTGGTTCATGAACTTCAATGGATATCCATTTCCACTAATGTTTCAGTTAGTATTTCGATGCCGTCATCCATCGAGTCTTCCGTACAAATACTCTGGATCATTTCAAATAGACAGTTTACCAAACCTCACGTGTATTGAGTTGTATACAACTTATGGAAACTTCAGTAGTGATCTGTCCAAGTGGGTTTCCTGTAAATCGACCGTTTTACTGAACCATCATATCTTCGACTTAGGAGTATATCCAAGAAGGACAGATGTCTGTCTTTCTCTTCTTCGAATGTTAAGCTTATGTTGTTTTGTACGATGTTAAGTCTTTCTAACAAATATGTCACATAACACAATTATATCAACATATCTCTAATAGAGGGTGACGTTACTGATGAGATCGCCGGTCAATCCTTTATTATATGATATGTAAATATGAGCTAACAATGGTCCTAGGGAATTTTCCATGGCCATAACATCTATTGGTCGAAAGTGCTCACATTCAAATGAGAAATAAACTTCATCGGTACACAATATTAACAGATCTCTGAAACACGTTGAGGTGATAGGGAGAGAAGAATTACTGGAAGATATATGGTCACAAAGAATGTCAATGGTTTTAATTAGGGGTACATTATCTTTTTTATGACTGAATTCCTTTATGTCATATTTGTCCTTCCCTCACTTCCAGTTTTCATGTATAATGCCTTAGCAAGTAAATGTATGATCAGATTGTTCGAAATGTATAGCGCAAATACATCACGTTTTCCAGATAATCTATATCTTCTAATTACATCATCCAAATTCATAAAAGTGACTATTTATTTCGAAATTATGTTTACATTGACTGGTAACTGGATGGTAACCAACTTCATATTGTTTATTCCTAAGTGCTAACCGAATTCTATCAAACATTTTGCAGTGTGGCCATTAAACTGGGAGACTCATCATCGTGATGGACTTTGATGAGTGTTAATTGATTGGGGAAAATCGACAGGAAAATCTGGGCATAGGTTTTGTACTTGTTAGCACTCGTCAGCAAGTCGTATCTACAACTTCGTGGGTACTGATGTCCTCTCTGATATTCGAACCCTTGGCACTTAGTTTTGCAGTCAGCAACGCTACCATTGAGCCATGATCGTCCTCCCGTAGGACTGATTACTGGAAGGCAACCAATTTCATGTCTAATCCTAAGTGCGGACCGAATTCTATCGATCATTTTGCAATATAGCAGGGTTTAATAAGACATAAATATACAAGAAATGTCTTTACTTGTTAGATATTCAGTAATATACGTGGTCTCACGAGGTCTAGACGTTCGTTCAGTTGGTGTTCTGTGAAGTAGAGCCTTCAGAGACATCGTAATTTTATGAAGTTAGTGATTTTCTTACGGGTGTTCCTATAAATATATCCTATTCAGGCCGTTTGTTAGTCTTTATTCACTTCGATTTCGATCACTGATCAGCTGTACGGTGAACAGCTGGTTTGTTTATCTCAATTACAATCCGTGGGTGGTTGTAAGGAGTACAGGTATGCGAAACTATATCCTAGTTTCCTCACATCCCTCAAAAAATAAGTCGGTGACAGAAAGAATCATCGACCGAGCTTTTTTAGTTGGAAAATAATTTCAGGTTGATATTCATCCATTGCAGGGTCACACGTGCTCACTGTCAAGGAATCTCGTATTAGGACGAAACAACTGTCTGGTGCTCCCAGATTTTCAATGGTACTCCAACTGGTGTCAGTCCATGATGAATATTAACTTGTAATCTAAAAATAGATCCCCACAAACGTCTAAATTGAAGAAAAACTCTATTCGTTTTCAGCATCGTCATCGTGCCTCAGAGGATGATCAGCTTCTGCTATCGTCAAGAATGAAGACGTTTTGACCCTTAAGTTGTGCGTACACTCCTGAGGGAAATTCTTACCCAATGCTTAGACAACGTGTTGCGTAATTTATATTTGAGTTTTCATACCCATCATCGTTTTGTTATACAACATATACAGCGTTGTAGTGACCATCTAAATAGTCGTTATAAGAAAACTTGAACAATCAGAATACCACAGTGCCTACAGTCTCTGAATTTTTCTTCTAGTTGGCATAAATGCTAGAGCATTTTAGCTACCATGCACTGTAGTAGAATTATCAACTGAAATGTTTAATTTATTGCAGAAAGCATCACAGCTTTAGGTCAACTCAGGGTCGGTTGTCGAATTTGTAAGGTGATTTCACCACAGATATATTTTGGTCAACTTATTGTTTGAAAGGACAAAGAGTAACTAGATTTTATACATGAAACGTAATAGGAATCGCTATAAGAACAGAATGCAACAAGATTTTGTTTATAAATCTTGGATTATTCTTTTACACCACTTGTGTTGAGATGTGGCTTTTTGGCTTAGAAACTTCATTTTCAGGTAATTTCTCCTGGGGTTTAAGGTCAGTATCATAGGGACTTACACAACCAGTATGGTTCAGCCTATCCAACATTTAACGGGTAGATTGTGATTTTTGGGGCACCACCTGGATGCTCAAGGTCGTTCAGAGAAAATCCCAAAATCTTGATTCAAAAAAACTTTGTTAAAGCGATTAGGTCGCACATTTGGTGTTAGTGTCAGCTACAACTTGCGTTGAAAATACTTATATAACTAAACTGGATGATGATTGAAGGTGAGATGAAGATTTTGACCGCAGCCGGATTCGAAACAGTGACCAACGGGTTTCCGGCCTGATGCTCTACCAAAGGAGCTACGAGTTTCGACTGCTGACCAGAATTTTATTTCACTTCAATCACAAGTGGGTTTTCTCCTGATTACGATTTGAATTCGCTACGCCTTACTATCGCTAGATCGTATTCACACTGGCTGCCTAGTCAGAACTTCTCATCCCAATCCAAATGTAACTGAATTAAAGAGGAGGGGGAGCATCATATTGATTATCAACTACGGCTATCTCAGATAGTCAAAATGATAGTCAATATGATGCTCCCCTTCCTCTCTAATTCAGTTACATTTGGATTGGGATGAGAAATCCTAACTTGGCAGCCAATGTGAATACAATTAAGCGATAGTAAGACATGACGAATTCACGTGGTAGTCGGGCAAAACCCCGCTTGTGATTCAAGTGAAATAAAAATTCGGTGAGCAGTTGGACCTCGAAGCTTATTTGGTATAGCATTAGGCCAATAACCCAGCGCGTCGCTGTTTCGAATCCGGCCGCGGTCAAAATTTTCATCTCACCTTCAACCACCACCCAGTAAAATAGTAGTCTGGCAAACCACGGGTATCTCAGATAGTCAAAATAATAACATTTTTGTTATTGTTTTGTAAACTTACATTCCAACCAATCACATTTAACTTCATTCTTGACAATCTGTTAAGGATCTATAAATAAACGTAATCTTCTGTGAAAAGATCGTCTGAAGCTTGTAATTTTATCTAGAGCAGATATAATGACATTTCTTTTCACGTCAGCATAGATAGAACCTATCTTCGATGGTGTCTCGTCAATATCTTAAACTCAAGTCTCTATCATTCCTGAATAACTTTATTCCCTAACGTTGTTTTCTGGTGATAAGTGTAGTCGGAGAAAACATATAGTTAAATGGGTATTTTAAGTAGGTCGATTAAATATATTGTAATTTCTTACCAATAATCTGTGGAGAGTCACCACAAACTAGATGAATCAGTTTCGGAGTTCGAATTTACCAATCATACTACTACTGCTAATGCTTACTGCGTTATGACTCCAACATATAAGTATTCAGGCAGTATTCATTTATCCACATAGGTTCTCATCTGCCAACAGAGTTGGGAGCATTCCATATTTTGTAGCGACTGGGACTACAAGTGCCAGTAAGCGTCAACAGACACCCTTTACACAAGATTTGGTTTCAATACCTCACTGAACTAATGGATAGCATTTG